CATGATACAACCTTTCATAAGGAAATAAACTTAATTTCCACTTTCATCTTAGTGGAAATCGCACATATTCACCATTTTCCGAAAAATGCAGCTGCGCAGGAGGTAACCTCTCGCTGTGGGTGCAAACTAGTTATGCATTATTTTCCATGAAAACCTCTCCGATCCATACCGAAATAAAAACAATTAGTTTTCAAACACGTTTTCTTACGCGATTCAAACAAAAGTTTCCACGAGAAATTATTAGTTTTTTTTTTATGGACCGATTTGCCCCAAAAATCGTCTGTTTTACTTGGAAAATTTGGAAACTATCCTCCTTCTAGTAGTTCTCACTTCGAAATGTAGGAGGCGAAAGCTTGGAAAAGTTTCCCTGCAAGACGCCAATAGGTTATGTACGTGCATGCAAAAAAAAACCAAGGCATTGTATGCACAGGTGAAACGGGAACCTTATTTGTACGATGGTGCAAACATTATCACGCATACGGCATACGGTATGGGTCATTCCATCTCAAGTGACCGAACCAGTTGTATCGATTTAAACCAAAATTGGTGGAATAACTTATTATCGGCCAATATTTAAAAAAAAATCCAATATCTTAAGTCAATCGGCCTATCCTCCGCTGCTGAAGACCACCCCCTTTTTTGCCGATTTCTTATAAACACCAGTGTTCAATGTTATATATCTCTGCAAGATACAGACAGCATTGGGTACCGTTATAGTAAGCATTATATCCCAAAATCTAGTTTGGCGTATGTTTTGTCATCGATCAAAGTGCAGCCCTTGTATTTCGTCAAAACACGGTCGTGCAAGAGCCTTGCACGCTTTTTGGCCACGGAATTCTGCTTCATGTGTCGGTTCGGATGTTTACTGGCTTTGTACGACTTGTATCCTTCCCTGGAAAGGATGTTCCGCCCCGTTTAAAAGTAGGCGTTGTACCTTCTGGCCACATCTTGGATCGAAAGACCGGGGTTGGCTTTAACGCACCTCATTACCTTGCGGTGCAGCTGACGATGCCTGGTTTCAGTTCTTTTTCGTAGGTCCGCTGATTTCTTTTCACACTCACCAGTTGTTCTCTATAGAAGTGTAAACAAACCACTGTCAAATATTTTAGATTCTCAACACTAGAGAGGTGCTAGCGTCGCGCGAAGGACGTACCAATTTACTTTTAGTCAGCCTTGATATTGATCTTCTTTTAAAATATTATCTTACTGTACTACGCACCTCCATCTCTAGCTGCTCCATCACACTGAACGCAGATTTTGCGACGTTCAATCACATCCTGTATGTAATGATGAAAATCCTTGTGTATTTTGTCGAGATAGTCACCAATTTTTTCCGTAGAATATTGGCATGCACATTTAAAGGATTGCAGCACTGTTTTTGGTTGACTGCATGAAATTGACCAAACTGATTTGCATGGCTTTCACACACAGTTTTGAAACAGAAAACACCGGACCGAAATTTGACAGGTTCCATTCCCGAGATGTAAACTGCCACAAGGACCAATGAATTTTTTTTTCCGACGGTGCATTTTCTTTTCAAACACAATCCAATTGAACACACCATTTTCTACTCGATTTTAACGACTGCAAACCTAAGCTGGATTTATTCTGACGTAACTCTGGTTATTTTCGTAAACAAAGCTTTTATTATCAAGTTGACCGTGACAAACTAACGGGTGATAACTAAAAATTGAGTCCTGATGAATGTGGGCGTCTTAGTGGAATACCTGTATAATGAGAGAGAGAAGGATTAGTATTTTCCATTTAATTCCACTACTTTATTTGCTTATCCTTGACAGATACGCGTATTTCGTCTACAATGTGCAGACTTCTTCAGTGTCTTGTACTAATACTTGTATAATAGTCGAGTATTAGTACAAGACACTGAAGCAGTCTGCACATTGTAGACGAAATACGCGTATCTGTCAAGGATAAGCAAATAAAGTAGTGGAATTAAATGGAAAATACTAATCCTTCTCTCTCTCTCATTATAAAAATTGAGATTTTTCGTTTCAAGCTGTGAAAAAAAGACATGGGTACAAAAATTAAGACTGATGTATTCCATTTGACTACTATTAATTTTAGAAAAAAATAATGAACATTTCAATACAGTCTATCATCGGCGGTATGAAGTGACTCTGTCATGATATGTCAAAAAGAGCATTGTACAACTTTTGTTTCGATTTGTCGAATACATCTCTAGATGTTATCAGTTATTTAGATACAATCAATAGCTCTATTGGAAGACTTTAAGAAACTTTCATTTAATGTTTTCAACTGCTAAACACATATAGTTGGCAAGCCTGGAGAACAAACTACATTTTTGCATTCGGTTTGATCGAAAGTTGAAAGTTTCTGATTTTTAGTAAAGCTACAGATTTCGTCGTTAATTTCATGAAGAGACCAACTTTCTATATAAAACCACTTTGGAGTTAACGAAAAATAAAAATTAAATTAAAACCTGTTATCTTTAAAATTTAATATCTCCTAAATGGAAAAAGTTTTTTTGTATCGATAGGCGATTCTTATGTAAAAACTCCGCTGAACATTTTAGCGTTGTCAGGTGTTGAGATATTTGCATTTTATGTTTTCAAATGCAAAAGCCGCCAATTAGGAAACCGTGGAGAAAAAGTCGGATCAAACAATTCGATTGTACGTCTAAAATCCCTACTTAAACCAAGGTTACAAAGACTCATTTCAGCTAAAATAATGTTTTTCGGAGTAATAAAACCAAAAGATGGTATGATGGCATGTTTTACTTGTAACTTACAAGAAGAGGTTACAAAGTATGCGTTGGAACCATAAAACCTGTGAATTTTGCTTTCTATGAGTCACAATCAGCGATTTGCTGATCGCTGAGTGAGTGAGTGAGTGAGTGAGTGGGTTTGTGAAAAATCGCTGATTGTGACTCTCATGAAGTGAAATAAACAGTTTTAATATGTCAAACACATTCTTTGCAACCTCTTCTTGTATCCTACCAATTCAAAATTTGATCATGGCATCTAATTATTTCATAATTTAGAAAAACATTGTTTTAGCTGACATGAGTCTTTGCAACCTTGACTTAAACGGTACCCAATGCTGTATCATTAATGGTTGCAGAGATATATAACATTGAAAATTAGGCCAATTGGCTTAAGATTTTTTTTTCATATTGGTGCATAATAAGCTATTGAATCAAGTTTGGTTCAAATCGGAGAGGGTCGATGCAATTTTAAAAAATTACTCGGTCACTTGAGATGGAATGACCCATATGTAAACGCTTTATCAATCTCGTTTCTACAGTCTCAAGCTGTATTGAAACATTATACGATATGCAGCAACTTTCACACAACCTTTTAACAAGCAAATCTGGGGAACTTAGGTAGCTAGTTTGGGTCACATTAGACAGTTATTCATACTATATTCGTTAACGCTTCTACTCAGCCGATATTCAGCTGAGTATGCAGTTGAAAGGCGCATATTCAACTTTTTCCCACCTACTAAATTAATTACTATACAGCTTTGTCACAAAGTAGAGTAAAATATTGTGTGTGTCTGTATTTATATATTATTCTGAACGTTTGCCATTGCCGGGTTTAATTAAACACAGCATTAATGGCGGTAAGCCTCCACTCGGTTTAACTTTTAATCCCGCCCTTGTTTGCAAAGTAATTGCTTAGAATCGTGTTTATTAACTCTGATGTTGACATCTTGATCGGGATTTAATCCGAGAATAATACCAGTTGGAGCTTACCACTATAAAGGTTTGCTTGCACCGGGAGCTAGGCTCGAACTTGTGACTACCACATGGAAAAAAAACGTCGATGCTATCAACTTTGCTACACCAACACTTAAAATTGATCTAGAACTATCTATGTGTTGTTCTACATCGAGATCGCTAAGAAGAGGCTTTATAATGGTACAGGTACAACACTTTCTCGACCATTTTATTTATAGATTTATGGAAGACACAGTGTAAAAGTTATATAACCAAACCAAAATCCAAATATTTTTGGTTGAATAAATGCATCCAAAAATCTATTGAAAAGCTTATTAGCTCAGTACAAGCTATTTAATTGTTGGAAATGCGCTTTCGTTGTTTATATCACTAAGTATGAGTTATTGGTTGTGTAAATGCTATGATATTAGTAATATACACTGTTTATAACCTTTGAATTACAGCTATAAGTTGTTTATTGAGAAACATGCGTTTACACTACAGAAACGTTTATTAGCTGTTGTTATTCAATTTGACTGACAAGCTGAATAATAGTTGTATGCATGCTGAATAGGCGCTACTCATACTATTTTGACTGCTTTTGCCTGTAGCTTAATGCACAACTTTTATGCAGCTGCTTTATAACATATCTACAAAAAGTATTCTTACATAGCTGAAAATATTTGTTGGGTTCTACTCAATCTAGGGGTATACAAATGAACTGAGTGAAAACTTTCACGATTTTCATCATATTAGAAAAGTTTTTCCTGGAAAATCAAGGACAATTTTACTCAGTCTTTGAGTAACTAACGTTCTTGCAAATCTGAGTGAACGAAAATGTTCAACAATTTACACTTGATGTCATTAAATTACTAATAGAAAACAAGCCGAAAGTGCATATTTTATTGAGAAATTGATTGCATAAGGGCTTGGTCAAGGATTTCTTAATACCAAAGATTTAATTAGCTTTTAATTATTAAAAATAAATTATGTTCCATTAAAATAGTTACACCACAGGCAAAACATATCATGTGAAAATAATAATTAATATTATATTTCATTGTAGTTTTAATTTTCCTGTAAAAATATTACTGAACGCCAAAATCAACTAAATGTTGACCAGTCTACAGAACTTAGTTTTTTTTTGCTAATTAATAACTGATCATCTCCTTAGAAATTTCATACATATTTTTGCTTCACTCAAATTCCAATGTATTATGAGCATTATTTTTCCCTGAAATGATACCAGAACTTCTTAACCCAGATAAATAAAAACCCATACTACGTCTTCTTCTTCCAGGTCGCCTACCGAACGAAGCCACCCCCGGTCTAATCACCTGGAAGTACATCAACCAGAAGGTACCATGGAGTCTTATTTTCCTGCTAGGCGGTGGCTTCGCCCTGGCCGAAGGTGGCAAAGTTTCTGGAATGTCAGCCCTGCTGGGGCAGTCTCTGTCTGGGCTGAAAACCCTACCCCCGCTATTGTTGCTGTTTGTAGTGTGCCTTACCGCTCAAATACTGACTGAATTCACGTCCAACGTGGCCATCTGCAACATCATGTTACCCGTACTGGCCGAAATGGTAGGCTGCCGAATCAAACTTAAAGCATTCCGCGAAACGTAGAATAATTTCCCATTTTTTACCCACAGGCGATCGCCATCGAAATGCACCCCCTGTATCTCATGCTACCGGCAGCGTTGTCGTGTAGCTTCGCCTTCCACATGCCCGTAGGAACGCCACCCAATGCCATCGTAGCCGGTATAGGAAACATTGCGATCAAGGATATGGCGGTGGCCGGAATCGGTCCTTCGATATTCACCCTGTTGGTGGTGTGGGCCACCTTCCCAACGTGGGGAGCCGTCGTGTACCCAGAACTGGCTACTTTCCCCGATTGGGCTCGACCATCGAATGTCACAGTGCATTGAAGAATGGATGGGAAAATCGCCTGCATAAATTAGTGTATCATGTTAGAGATCAAAATTAAAATAATGAAAATGTTGCAGTGCAATGCATTCAAGCTGAGTAGGAACCAAATTTTGTGCCAAAAAGTCAATTGTAGGCACGTACTTTAGGGATCGTACGTGGTAATTCGGAGTTATTTAGGGAAAGGTTTCGAACAAAGACGACGATACTGAACTGTCGCATCATAGACTAAGCAAAGTTAACATTTCGCAAAGAATGGCAAAATGGATAGCTGTGACATTGGTAGCTATACCTAGTGTAGTATACCAAACTGGATGATCAAAATAGAAAGACACCGCTAGATTCTCGAAAAAATAATGTTTCAAATTATATTCAAATTTAAACCACAAAAATTATACACGGTCTAAGAAACATAGGCATCTGAAAGCATTTTAAATACTTAATTCATATAAAAGTGGCCTTACACAGAATAAACTCTTGCTGATAGGATACAAGTAGGAGTGAATTTGTATTTTGTGATTAAATTTTCAATATTTTTTCTACGCCTTAACTTTATGACCTGCGTGACTTAACGAACCGCAATAGTAACAAGCAAACAGTCTTCCTTTTAGACAAGAAGTACTCAAAATATTCTGTTTAGGATTGCTATCTAAACTTATCATTACGTTAGCACCACCCAGTTGAGAAGCGATATGCAATATACTTTGTGAATAGCACGTAATTGTTGACCAATGATTACTTAAAAGTTTACGTACATTATGTTAAACGACAGTTGTTGCTGAAGAATTGTGCTTTAGTAGCAAAGTCTTAATAGATTTATTTACTATAAAAAATAATAAAAACTAGTTTTGTGTGTATCATTTAACCAAACGCTTCCGAAATTATGCCTGATCTTTGATTCGAATTAAATTGTATTAACCGTTTGTTCCGTAAAAGGTGCGAAGCCTTAGAAAGAGGTCCCCAGCCATATTGCTAGAATGCCAAACTACTTAAACATTCTATAATCTACTTAGCTAAGGGTATACACAGTAAGTACAATTACACCGTTCACAGCATACTAAAGAGATAAACTAAAAAGGTACAAATTAAGAAAAAAATGAATAGGTAAATAAACTAAAAATAAATGACAAAAACAAAGATTCTCTGTAAGAGATCCGTGGGAGCCCCCGTACAGCGCCAGATGGTTCTAAATCCTGTAATATAGCTTCGCCGCCTTCAAAAAACGCAGTCGCCTATGATTTTCCTAATGAAAGGAAGTCTGGCACTGGACCATTCCGTTGCCCACGCTGTCCGCACTGTGCAAGTGATCCATCTCTTCACGTCCTGCAACGGCACCTTGTGCGAGTACCGAGGACCGGATGAGCCTGACCCAGCTAGCGTGTCCGCTTTGATGTTCCCCGGGATCCCACAGTGTAAATGCGCTAGGTCTCGTAGACGACAGAACACGGACAATCCCATTTTACCACGATTTCCCTATGATCTGTGAGTATAGTCAGACAGTTTCTATTATTTTTCGGAACTTAACCCGACACACTCATCAAATCTTCGCTAATCTTATGTAAAAACGGCCAAGGAATCGATTTCCGTCAAAAATGTTCAAATATGGCGCTGTTTAATCCCGCATTGCCAAAATTTCCGTATATTCAGTACTACACACTGTTAATTTTATCCATTTCATGACTTTGAAAGGATATGCTTGATGAACTTCAGCTCAATATATCATAAAATGTTCAAGGAATCGATTGCAGTAGGTATTAATCACAACCGAGCACGGTAAATGCCCGTCGTACCTAAATTTTCCTATAACATTTAAGATTAGCTGAGAATTTCAACATTTGCTCAAAACGCAAAGGACAACAAACGATAAAGTAGCACTTTTTGTAAACAAAAATGTCCACAGAATCGATAACATTAGGTAAAACTGACGGCAAATCACGGGAAATGCCCGTTTTACTCCAATTTCCCCATGATTGGTGGTGACTTAAACAAAACAATTTTGTTTGCTCTTTTTTTTTCCTATGGTTTGTTTTCCGTCGATCTTGTTTTCCGTGCTGAGCACCAATGCTACCGACACCATGGAGGCAGCTTCCACACCTGGACCCTACCTATCGACCCTTCAACTCATGAACCGGTTATGCCTCAGAACATCCCGGCGGCGCCAACTAGGATTGAACCCAGACCTTCTGGGGTGAGAGGTAATCACGCTTACCACTACACAACCGGTGCCGCTATTTGTTTGTTCTTCGTAACTTAAACAATTATTTTCTTTCGAGAACAAATCACGAGGTGCATTATATATTTTTCGTGATTTTCAAGATAGTACTACTTTCTGTTATCTATGTCTCCCGATCATATAAAATTACAATTATACAGAAAATTATTCGACAAATCGATCATTAGTGTGTTGTAATAAAAGGAGCTCGTTTGCATAGTGGCAAACGTTTTTGCTTACTGAGCAGAAGTCCGTGGGTTCAATCGCAAGCTCCTTCGCGTTATATGATCGTTAGGACATCAATACAGGTTATAGTTTGCCAAAACGAACCCTGCTGCAAACCCTACCCTCTTATCCAACATCCCAGTGATTCCTCGTGGAAGTGCAGAGGTGTTCTCGGCTTCCATCAAAGCGAGTTTCACGTCAACACATTCCTACCCAATTATTTCTTGACCTGTATTCGAGTGCGGCCGGCGCTGGTATTGCCTTGTTTGAGATCACCAGTTATTACACATTGAGGATGATTGCTAGTTCCAAGCATCGTCTATTGGTTCTCTATGTAACTACAGCTGATCGGGCAATACCAGAGTAGCATCCGCGGGCGGCCAATCATGCTAATGCTCACGTACAGCAAAAAATAAATTTTAATATTACTGCTAAGAGGATGCACTTCAATCATGTTGAAAATCTCATGTAATTTTTATGGCCATAAAAATTAACAAATGCAATAAAAGCAGCGAAATGTGAGTTCATGCACTGTATTAATGATAATTTTGTCCTTTTCGACAAGTAATATTACATCATATTTTTGACACGATTTAAGTGCATCAAAATTATTTTTTTGCTGGGTGCTCATGCTTTACATAATCTCGGATATAAAAAATTCAAGTTTTACCAAACTTGATGATATAAAATACCCACCACCTCCGACGCAGGCATCGATCGCTTTACTATTGGAGTGTTTACACTTATGCCACAGACAAACAGACGTAACTCTTTGAAAAAGTTTTTCTTGAAAACATTTGAATTCTCAAATGACACCGTCGTGTCTTTTCAACTTTAGTTCATTTGAATTTTTTAAATTATGGCCACACCAGTGCAAGTCGATACCGACCGAATTATGGCGGCCTAGTCTATTGGGGGAAACCTTTTCTCTGGTCGATGTGGGTGCTTTCATCGTCGTCTCAGTAATGCCACATATACAGATTTATCTGTAATGATACAGATTTTTCTCAGCATTTTGATACAGATATATAAAATTTACAGATAATAGATTTTTCAGATTTTTCAAATAAGTGTATAAGAATATGTGTTACTCTGGATTGTATTTGTTTATACCCATAAATAATCCTTTCTTCCTTTTGAGTAGATACGAACACCTAACCAAACACCAATTTTTCAATTTTTATTTTATTATCTTCGTTAATTTTGAACGGACTTCTTATGCTCAGATGTTCTGATTTATGATTGCCCTTTAGAAGGGATGTTAGATTTTTATTCTTATTGTTTAATTAACCATATCGGTTTTAGAGTACGGTAGTTTTTGCTTCCAGTCGGCAGCTAAAACGCACATCATCAAGCTGGAACGGATCCAGTATCGTTGTCTTCGTATCGCGTTAGGATGCATGCACTCGACTCATACTATGAATCTCGAAGTGCTGGCGGCCATGTTGCCACTATCCGTCCGTTTTTCAGAGTTATCTCTGAGGCTCCTCACCCGTTGCGAAGTAATGAACCCACTGGTGATCGAAAACTTTGAGAAGCTTCTGGAGCTAAATCCTCAAACATGTTTTATGACTTTGTACTACCTATATTTAACACAGGATGTCAGTCCTTCAAGAAATATCCCCAATCGTGTAGTCTTCTCCGATTTCGGCAATTCAGTGAATTTTGATTTATCTATGACGCAGCGCCTCTCGTAAACTTGAAGCTCCTTGTTCTGTGTATGTGGCTGAACTGGCAGCAATTCACTACACTTTGGAAACTATTGCTTCACTTATTCCAGACCACTACTTTATTTTTACGGATAGTCTTAGTTCTGTCGAGGCTATCCGTTCCATTAGGCCGGTAAGGCACTTCTCGTATTTTCTCTTGAAAGTACGAGAGCTGCTTAGTGCTTTATCCGTGTGCTCTTCCATTATCACCTTCGCGTGGGTCCCTTCGCATTGCTCAATTTTTCGGCAATGAGAAGGCGGATTCACTTGCGAAGGTGGGCGCCATTTATGATCGACAAATCGCCAATAGTGATGTTTTCTCTATTTATCGTCAGCAGTCGCTCGTTAGCTGGCAACATCAATGGAGTGAAGGGAGCTTGGGACGATGGCATGGTTCAAAGGGTTGGACTTGAGTCGAGACTTCATACGCGTGATGTCTCGTCTCATGTCCAATCACTATTGTCTAAACGCTCACTTGTTCCGTGTGGGGTTGGGAGACAGCAATCTCTGTGAATGTGGACAAGGTTACCAGGACGCTGATCACATCCTTTGGTCTTGTGCGGAGTATCGTGGAGTCAGAACACATTTGTATGATTCCCTTCGGGCTCGAGGTAGACAACCCAATGTTCCAGTTCGAGATATCTTGGCTGGGCGCGATTTGGAATATATGTAACTCATATATGAATTTTTTAAATTCATTAACCTTAGGTTGTAGATAGTTTGTTTTCTTAATTTGGTATATTTGTCAAGATGAATGTGTTTGCGAGAAAGTGTGTGTGTGTATATTAGACTGATGCAAAATTTGACTTTTTCGCTCCACAGTGCTTAAATGGTTTCAAATCGGGTCTTGATTAGCCCCCAAAAGTTACAACTCATTTAGTTAGAAACAGACTTCGCACAAACCATTTGAAGTTTACATGTAAATTACTATGGGAAATCAACTTTTTGTTCATTGTCTTCTAGCCTTTTTCCATAATTAGCTGCAAAACAGCTCGATAGCTATTCTTATAGAAAATTTTCTCAGCTACAACTTTGCTCAAGATCGTTTCTATGTAAAACGAGACAGGAAAAAGTTATTAATTATTTAAGAGATTAGTAAACTTATGACATGATCAAGCAGCTGCTCTGTAGGCAACACTGTATTTTGCAGTGTGACATAGTAGCCATAATTTTTGTGTCCTATTCAACGCCCCAGAAACACCAATGTTGCCTGCTGAGCAGTTGATTGAGCATGATCATAAGACATCAGCGCATTGAACCATTGATAACTTTCGATCCTTGCATTTAATCAAAAAGTGGTCTTCAGCAAAGTTGTAGCTGGGAAAATTTCCTAGAAGCAAAATTAAAGGCTTTTGAAGAAGATCGATATGGTGAATTATTAGATAGACATGAACAAAAATTTTGGTTTTACCATAGTAATTCCCATACAAACTTCAAATGGATTGTGCCATCTCAGTTTCTCACCAAATGGGTTCAAATTTTGAGAGGTTAGTCAGGATCCGATTTGGAATCGTTTAAGTATTGTGGAGCGAAAATTTCAAATTTTGCATCACTATAGTGTATATACATTCGTTCTGTAGTATTCATGTTCATCTCATGTTGAAATGACCAGTTCTTTAGATTTAAGTAAGTGGTTTAGAAATAGTTACTACATTAAAACAAATAAAATTCGTAATCCTCTCAACCTTTCCCCATCCTTAAATTGTAAAACTCCCTAACCTCGAGACGAACGCGAGTAATCGGTTAAACCCCCTTAACTCTAGTTTTAAGATTCTTATTGTTGAAGAAAAAGAATATCTCGGCTCTGTAAAATTTATTCGACTGAGCCTGTACAAATAAACAAATTACAAAAATAAACGTTTTTAGTTTTTGCTCATAAACTGCAATTACAATATACATATTTTTGAAAAATTGTAACGGCGCAAAGTCCTACTGGGAATGTAAAAATGCAAAAGAAGAACTGTTCTGCATTTCTTATAGTTATGTACCATTATTTGTGATATTGAAATATTATTGAAAGCATTCAGTGTGGCCTACAATTCAGCAAGTTGTAAATTCAGTACAGAATGTTTTCCATTATATGCTACTTTTTCTTGTTTAGAAAGCAATAGGGTTAACTACCCCATTCCCGGCCTATTAAGCACAACCCGTACCTAGTTTTTCTTAATCTAGCGCAGTTTAGCATCAAACGGAATGTTATTATTACTGATGGTTTCCTAATTTATTTACCTTTTCGTACGTACCGTAAGATTTGATAAAGAGAAACCAATCGTTGACATATTGTCAAAAGTCTAACACTGCTTCTTGACGCCAACCACGGTCTACGGATTCTAATCTCGGCCTAACGCATTGAAACGCCATTGAAACATCAATGTATTCACTTCGGCCTATCGGATGAAGATAAAAATTGATTCGGTCGAGTGTTTCTTTTGATTTTGGGAATTATGGGTGCAAACCTTCATATCACGCGTTCTCATTGACTTCGTTCGGTAGCTTATTAATTAAAGTATCGTACCAAACGCATAATTAACTTGTTAACTCTGGAATCATGGATTTATTCTTCTGTTTTTCTGCTCGATAGGCCCAAAATGAGCGAATAGGCCGAAGTAGTTCTCTACCATACTGAAAAGGCAAACAAATCCATTGCCTATCATACCGGAGGAAATCGAACCCTCACCTTCCAGTACGCTATTTTTAGTGGCAACTCTTCCGTGTTCATAGCCAGTTCCGAATTGTTTCCTGAAGTAGATTCCTTCAATCATGATTTTTATGCTTGAATAACACCTGGCATAAGAAATTCAAATTAGGGCCACACATATAAAAATGCAATCCATAATACTTCGGCAACTTCAATAGGCATCGAACTGAGATTGATTGTTACTAATGATCAGTTCTATTGTATATAATAAAACCTAGCAAGTCCGGAGTTATTTGAGATTTGGGCTAGGATTTGGGCGTAATTTCTTATGTAATCAAACACTTCAATCGTGGATTTTTCGCGAATAAAAGCTCAATCTCGTAAATCATTCCTCTACTTGATTGTGATATTAGTTTCCGAGTTTGAGCATTTATTCGCGTGAAATTGGCGATTGAAGTGTTTGTTTACAAAAGCAATTACGCCCAAATCACAAATCACTCCGGCACTGGCTCTGGCCTCAATCCAATCGGGGCACAAAATGTCATGTGAAGTAAATTCTATCATTAAATCTAGTAAGTGACTAGCAGGCGTAGGCGTTGATCGCATATGCACGTGGGAGCTCAATACCGATTGTGACAGATTGCCATTCATCTCGAAACAAACCAGATCAGTTTTGAACAATGGAAGATCCAACATCGGAAAGAATTAGCTGCAGCGGCCGCATTGGACGATTTTTCACCCTTTACTGGCGCGTGCTAGTGCTCATCATTACCCCTTGCCTGGCAGCCCTAGTGTTTCTTCTGGACACCACCCCCTCTCATCGATGCATGTTCGTTGTGTTGATCATGGCCGCGTACTGGATCTTCGAAGCACTTCCACTGCCCATAACGTCCATGCTTCCGGTGGTGCTCTTTCCACTTTTGGGCATTTTGGAAACCGATCGCACCTGCATGATGTACATGAGGGAGACGTTGCTGATGTTTATGGGTGGACTCTTTCTGGCCCTGGCGATCGAGCACTGTAATTTGCACAAACGGATTGCACTGAAAGTGATCTGCTCGATTGGCTGCAGTCAGCGAAAGTTGAATTTCGGATTGTTGACGGTGACGATGTTTGTGTCGATGTGGATCTCCAACACTGCTACGGTTGCGATGATGTGCCCGATCATGAAAGCTGTCCTGGAGGAATTGGAATCGGTATTCGGTGATGAAGTTCGTGAGTTTGTGTTTTTCATTGATTAGGATTATTTCAGCAAAGTTTATGTCAAATGTATCTCAAGCCCATATCTGACAGCAAGGAGGAAGATAAGCAAAGCCACGAGTAATTTATAATTCAGCGCAAGGAAAACCTTTTTCAAACAAATCTTATCATTCTACTAATAGGTTGCCGATTCCAAGTAGAATAACAATTTGCTACTTCACGGGAGCGGCCTATGCGGCCAGTATCGGAGGTTGTGGCACATTGCTTGGTTCGGGAACTAACCTCACCTTCAAAGGAATCTACGAGAGTCGCTTCCCGGAAGGGAATCCGATCGACTTTTTCCGATTCACAATCTACAACATACCGGGAATGCTACTGGGAACCTTCTTCGTTTGGTTTTACCTGCAGGTGGTTTACATGGGAATGTTCAGACCTACTAGCACAGCCGCCCGGGAATCATCCATCAGCAAGGAAGGACAGGCTATCGCACATGGCGTCATTATGAATCGTTACGGCGAGCTGGGACCGATAACGTCTCATGAGATAAGTGTAGCCGCACTGTTCCTCGTATCGATTGTACTGTTCTTTTCCAGACAGCCTGGCTTCACAACCGGGTGGGCCGATTTGCTACCAGAGAAGTAAGATTAATGTGGTTTCATTGATACTTTTAAATTTCATAACTGAACTTTCTTAAGGAAAATTCAAGATGCAACTCCTGCCATACTCACAGTGTTGGCCCTTTTTGTTTTCCCGGAAAATTGGAATTGGTTGAATTTCTTCAAAATCAATCCATGTAAGTATCACGGTTATTATTGAATCATATAACTTAAAATGCTTGACTGTTTATTAATTTTAGCGTCCTTACCCACGGCACCATCACCAAGCCTCATATCTTGGAAATTCATCAACGATAAGACGCCGTGGAGTTTGATTTTCCTACTTGGTGGTGGGTTTGCTCTGGCTGAAGGTGGTCGCGTTTCCGGAATGTCTGCAATGATCGGTCAGGCTCTGTCAGGGCTCAAGAATTTGCCACTGCTCCTACTGCTATTCATCGTTTGTTTGACCGTTCACGTATTGACGGAGTTTGCCTCGAACGTTGCCATTTGCAACATTGTTCTACCCGTTTTGGCAGAGATGGTAATGTTCCTATGATGTCAATCGAATAACAATACCCCATTAAACTTTTCAATCATTCGATACAGTCCCTAGCGATGGAACTTCACCCCTTGTATCTGATGCTTCCGGTAGCCTTATCGTGCAGTTATTCCTTCATGATGCCTGTTGGAACTCCTCCGTTGGCTCTCGTAGCTGGATTGAGCCACATTCGTACCAAGGATCTGATAAAGGCTGGTGTCGGTGTCAAGATTATAATGTTGCTAATTATCTGTGGTATATTCCCAATCTACGGACCCATCGTTTACCCTGAAATCAAGAGCTTCCCAGGTTGGGCTAGACCAATGATGAACACCAGCGAGTCGCCTTCCCACAATGCTTCAATTCTCAGGCTGTTGACCGAATGATTGAGTGAGCAGTGTCATGTTTTCATACAGTTGTATACACTATCAGTAGAGTAAACTATTAATTTACAAAAGATTACGTCCATGAATAGACTAGTTGGACTTGATCTAATTCCAAGTCCATTGAAGAGTGTAATACAAATATGTATCGCCCTTCTAATCGGTCCCATCCCTGATAACCAGAGAAAGTGCGACCAAGCGTATCATATCCAATAGAACCGGCTGCCTGCCTCTCCGACCGCACCTAACCAGACGGTCATAATCGTGTGTTGTTACCTAGAATACGTTAATGGCGGTAGGCCGCAGTGACGACGGTGGCGGTGGCGCGGTTACCCTTTCGCGTAATTTGAAGAATTGCTCTGACACTTATGCTCGCTTTGTTGAGTTTGCGATGAATGAGCTGGGCTGAGACCTGACTGACTGACTGACTGACTGCAGAGCGGGTTGCTGTTCGATTCTGTCGAATTAGTACCGACCGAGCGGTGGAGAAGCAAGAACGTTGAACGGGCGCGAAAACCGGATTCGGAAAGTGCAGTATCGAAAAAGGTGCTAATTTGGAAGTGATAAGTTAGCAATGAAGTGGTTAGCATTCTTAGGCACGAATATTTTGAACATTCTTTGAAATGGATTGAAATCTTTTGATCATGATTCAGAAACGAGTTGGACAGAGCTCATTCTTAGGAGTGTTCAAATCGCGGCAATTTGGCTGAAGGCAGCAAGTTTTGTTTGTGACGCTTTTATGTAAAATTGACGTGAAACACGAAAAACATTTAAAACTACCATTCCAAAGTGATAAAACAACGTGAGGATTCATTTGGATTGCAAACAGGTGCCAAAACTTACTGCAGATTGAGAGTTTGAATGGTGCACAGTTAATTGAGGCAAAGTGATCTTCGGATACATTGAATTGAATTTCAACGGATCAAACACACTTGACATCAAAATCTGTTCTTGGTTAAATATAAATACATTGCAGTAACAATTCAGAAAACTGAAAATACGAAATAGTTCACCGAGATTCAGATCTTTCCTTCAGATAAATTTCGATAAAAGAAATTATTTACCAAGCTTCGACAACAGTAATCACTGGTCTAATTGAAGAAACCTGTAACTGCCGAAATCTGCAAAACAAATTTACGAACTTAACTTTGCCGAAAATATTAAAATATCTGTTCAAACGAAAATGGACATATTAATTTGCCTAGACTACGTAAAATAACTATCAGAACGAATGCATGTCAAGTGAAAGTGGTAGTCAAGCTACAAAGTGTTAAGAATGTTGAAATAGAGGACGTTTATCAACCAAACCGGGAGAAATTTTTGCGTGCTCTGGTTTCAGTTAGTAGTGGTCTGCAGCAGTGCATCGTTGTTCAGAGAAATCCCGTTGCATGAGTTTTTTTCAGAGGAAAATTACATTCACTACGACAAGTTCTGAATATGATTGAAAGCCATTTTTAGAGCCTAATTCTTCGTAGCTTGATAAAAAAGAGAAAGTAAACTAATAAAAAAAACGGCCGTGATTAAAAAAAAAACCCCCGGCAAATGGTGAAGACTATTCATACAGTGGGGAAAATTTAGCTTTGCCGATCTCACGGTATTACCAAGATGTTTGCCGAAGGCTCGGTTGTTGGATTTTCAGCACTTTTTGTTTTGCCGCGCTCATCGAAAAAATTCATTGAAATCAGCCCATTTAAAGAAAATCGAAAAAAAAACCCACCAAGTAGTTGATTTCCTCATTGAGCCGACTCTTTCCCGATGAATTGAAATATCAAATTTTACAATGATGATTTCGAGGGATACTGCTCAACCTTTCATACAGCTGCATTTCTCCAGAGATTAATCTTGTCAATGAGCGTATCTGAATACATGGATCTTGAATCTAACCATAAATGAGTCGCGAAGGCCAAAACAATAAAATCTGTTTACTGCAGGATAAAGGCATTCAGAATTGTTTGGTTAACTGATTTGAATTAAAGTTGTTGGCAATCATAACCAGCTAATAAAAATAAATTTACATCAGCTGGATGAAAATTGACGTTTTTTGCTTGCTCTTGATTATTTAGAAATTTTATAATTTTCCATTACCTAGAAACCTTTGTAAAGTCCAAGACCTGGACAAATCTCGAAACCTCTGTCCCAGCATAAAGGTCATGTTTGTGAGTCAGCGATCTTATTTTTTTTTTGAGACCGAAGTCTACAATATTTTGAAGTGCGTGATCTAACACATTTTTCAAGTATTCAGAAATTTTCCAAAAGATATATAAAAAACATGAAAATTAGTTTTATCATTATATGACACATTCTACGTCACAGCAAAAGTATAGTAAATAGGAAATTTATTTCTTAACTCGTTATCAGCGAAAAAGGTCGATAGGTAGAAATTCGGAAGCAATTTGAGAGTTCTGTTTGTGAGGTGCTCTGTCGATGTCCATGTAGTACAAGCAAATCCTTATCCTGGACACAAGCTCTTACTCTTTAGTTAACTCTGCTGTCAGTCATTTGTGGGCGTGAAAAGGACCGATGGGTTGGAAGCTTGGAAGCCAGTTTAGAGCAATGATGTGGAAACTTGTCCTCGATGTCCTTGGACATGATAGTGGTGCGGAAATTAACATCAATAGCGGCGCCGATGGTGTAGTGGTAAGCGTGATTACCTCTCACCCCATCAGGCCTGGGTTCAATCCCAGTCGGCGCCGCCGGGATGTTCTGAGGCATAACATCTTTGATCACGCCTTCTTTCGGAAGGGAAGTAAAGCCGGTGGTCCCCGGTTCATGAGTTGATGGGTCGATAGGTAGGGTCCAGATGTGGGAGCTGCCTCTCTGGCGTCGATAAAGGGTGTCCACGATGAAATTGCCACACACAAAATTGATTCGCAAAATTCGAGTTTTCATTCGATTGCCATCAAATTTTCAGGGATTGAGAAATAACTATTAAACTTCATTTTACCATTTTACTCGTATTTTATTTACAGTTCATACGCAAATGCCCGCACCTTGGCCTTAACCCCGGCCATAAGATTCTGCACAACCTGTGAATCAACCGTTTTTTGCATGTAAACCCATACTTTCTTCAGTTCCTCGACTGTCTTCACTACCTTAGGTCGTTTAAGAAGGTGCTGCTTCATAATCGCCCAGTACTTCTCGATGGGGCGGAGCTCCGGAGTGTTGGGAGGGTTGAACATTTTCGGCACGAAATTGACCTTATTGTCCGCATACCACTTCAGCACGTCCTTGGAGTAGTGGCATGAGGCCAAATCCGGCCAGAAGATTGTTGGGACGTTGTGGGCCTTTAGGAGAGGAAGCAGCCGCTTCTGGAGGCACTCTTTTATGTACACCTGTCCGTTCATCGTGTCCTGGGTCACGAAAGGTGCACTCCGCTTCCCGCACGTGCAGATGGCTTGCCAAACCAGGAATTTCTTCGCAAATTTGGACATCTTCTGAGTGCGGACATGCTCCGGAACGCTGAACTTATCCTTGGCCGTGAAAAACAGGTTGCCGGGGATCTGTTTGAAGTCGGCCTTCACATATGTTTCGTCGTCCATGATGCAGCATTCAACTTTCGTCAGCATGTTGAGGTACAACTTCCTGGCACGGGTTTTGGCGGACTTGTTCTGCTTCTCGTCGCGATTAGGGGCCTTTTGTACCTTGAACGTTCGAAGCCCCCCAACAAACAATTTTAGCTACAGATTAGCTTAAACAGCCAAAATTTGCCTTATGCAGCTAATTTTTGCCTGTATAAGCTAAGCTGCAGCTAAAATTGTTTGTTGGGCCAGCCTTAGTTTTGGCCTTCTGGACAAAACTTCGGCTTAGGTGCAGCTTCTTAGCCACATCCCTAACGGAGGCGTTCGGATTTCGGTTGAAGGCCCCAACTACGCGGTTGTGATTTTTGGTGTTGTACGGAATACTTTTTCCTTCACTTCTGGCCTTCCGATCGGTGGTCAATCGTTCCTCGAACCACTTAATCACTCGCGACACCGTGGAATTCGCGATTCCCAACGTTTTAGCGATGGAACGATGCGAGAGATCCTTGTTCTTGTGATGAATGCGCAAGATTTTATCACGCACGAGCTATTCTTTCGACTCCATTTCCGCGAGTTTTGATCACAGGACTTTAAAACTTGCAGGATGTAAATAATGCACTATGAACTAAATCCACCCAAATTTTCATTAAATTCTACCCAACGGTTAAAAAGTTAGAGCAATTTCATAGTGTGGCAATTTCATCGTGGACACCCTTTTAGCATTGGTGCTCAGCACGGAAAACAATATCGACGGAAAACAAACCAAAGAAAAAAAAAAGAAAACACACCAATCACAGAATTTGAGAATACTGGGCGGTACCTACGTTTATGCTTTATGATACAAATTTTAAGACTCTTTTTTTGGCAAAATTTTCTTAATAGGAGGTGCTTAAAATTTGCAACAAAAGGCATAAAGATAGGTACGGTCTGGCATGCTAAGTGCTCGGAATCAATATTCAGCGACTGTGTTAGGGAAATCACTTTTCCCATCACGGAAACGCCTTGTTTTCTGATGTCAAGATTATGTATTTTTGTGCAGTAAACTTTTGGTTTATTCAATAGATAAAAAAGCGGAAATTGATTGGATGAATTTCTTTGCTAAATAATTTCCAATCGCGAGATATTCGCGATCAATCATATAAATTCAAGATATTTTTCCTTTTCCAGCGTCCTGGAGAAAACCTTACGAAGTTTTTCTAGTTATTTGACATGGTCATGTGGTATTCGGTCATTGCGAGAATTTTCATGTACCACTTCAATACTTGACGCATTTGATCACAAACGTTTGGTTGCTGGGTACATTATCAGTTTCAAATGTTACGTGAGTATTATTCATGTGTTCATTTTTAGTAAACAGGGCCCCGCTGTTGTGTCACTTTTTGTCGAGTGAGTGAACTCAAATCCATCCGTGCACTCGTCTATGAGGCATGTAACAAAAAGTGTGTTGGTGAGTTCTTTGGCTTGAATGTTCCCAAAAAGTTCAGTATTTCGCTATAAGCAAATGCAAAACAAACAAATTTATTGACAGATTTGGGTAAATTTTGACCTGTTTAATGCTACTGGAAGGTATGCTGGTCACAAATGCCGTGCATAACTGATTTTCTGCGCAAGTGATGTGTATAAACGCGAATAACCACGAGATCCAGTGATTATAGCAAAGCTTGCCATACAGAAACCATCACAGTTCAGGGCCACTACAACTTTCTACAAAAGAGTTGAGTTATGAAATTCACTTAATTTCTAAATAATATCCGAAACAAAAATCTAGAAAATTGAACAAAAATTTCGTAGTCCTACGTCAACAATGCGGTCGTGTCTTGTACACCACCCTCCAACTTTTTCATCTATCGGTCTATCGGTACAACAGGTACCTATTGCAAACTCAGATAGCCTAATCAGCACCAGAGCGGTATTACCAAACCGGGAGTGGCGGTATCGGTTTCCGGTCCGGTCGAGGGAATCTTTTAAGTTGGAATTTTTCTTGACTGCGCTAGACATGCCACACACAGGCTTCCGGAGATCTCACGC